TCACCACGTGGTACACAGAGACAGCTGAGTCACCACGTGGTACACAGAGACAGCTGAGTCACCACGTGGTACACAGAGACAGCTGAGTCACCACGTGGCACACAGGGACAGCTGAGTCACCACGTGGTACACAGGGACAGCTGAGTCACCACGTGGTACACAGGGACAGCTGAGTCACCACGTGGCACACAGGGACAGCTGAGTCACGACGTGGTACACAGGGACAGCTGAGTCACCACGTGGTACACAGGGACAGCTGAGTCACCACGTGGTACACAGGGACAGCTGAGTCACCACGTGACACACAGGGACAGCTGAGTCACCACGTGGTACACAGGGACAGCTGAGTCACCACGTGGCACACAGGGACAGCTGAGTCACCACGTGGTACACAGGGACAGCTGAGTCACCACGTGGTACACAGGGACAGCTGCGTCACCACGTGGCACACAGGGACAGCTGCATGACCACGTGACACAGGGACAGCTGAGTCACCACGTGGTACACAGGGACAGCTGAGTCACCACGTGGTACACAGGGACAGCTGAGTCACCACGTGGTACACAGGGACAGCTGAGTAACCACGTGGTACACAGAGACAGCTGAGTCACCACGTGGTACACAGGGACAGGTGAGTCACCACGTGGTACACAGAGACAACTGAGTCACCACGTGGTACACAGAGACAGCTGAGTCACCACGTGGCACACAGGGACAGCTGAGTCACCACGTGGCACACAGGGACAGCTGAGTCACCACGTGACACACAGGGACAGCTGAGTCACCACGTGGTACACAGGGACAGCTGAGTCACCACGTGGCACACAGGGACAGCTGAGTCACCACGTGGTACACAGGGACAGCTGAGTCACCACGTGGGACACAGGGACAGCTGAGTCACCACGTGGTACACAGGGACAGCTGAGTCACCACGTGACACACAGGGACAGCTGAGTCACCACGTGGTACACAGGGACAGGTGAGTCACCACGTGGTACACATAGACAGCTGAGTCACCACGTGGCACACAGGGACAGCTGAGTCACCACGTGGCACACAGGGACAGCTGAGTCACCACGTGACACACAGGGACAGCTGAGTCACCACGTGGTACACAGGGACAGCTGAGTCACCACGTGGCACACAGGGACAGCTGAGTCACCACGTGGTACACAGGGACAGCTGAGTCACCACGTGGTACACAGGGACAGCTGAGTCACCACGTGGTACACAGGGACAGGTGAGTCACCACGTGGTACACAGAGACAGCTGAGTCACCACGTGGCACACAGGGACAGCTGAGTCACCACGTGGCACACAGGGACAGCTGAGTCACCACGTGACACACAGGGACAGCTGAGTCACCACGTGGTACACAGGGACAGCTGAGTCACCACGTGGCACACAGGGACAGCTGAGTCACCACGTGGTACACAGGGACAGCTGAGTCACCACGTGGTACACAGGGACAGCTGAGTCACCACGTGGTACACAGGGACAGCTGAGTCACCACGTGACACACAGGGACAGCTGAGTCACCACGTGGTACACAGGGACAGCTGAGTCACCACGTGGCACACAGGGACAGCTGCGTCACCACGTGGCACACAGGGACAGCTGCATCACCACGTGACACACAGGGACAGCTGAGTCACCACGTGGTACACAGGGACAGCTGAGTCACCACGTGGTACACAGGGACAGCTGAGTCACCACGTGGTACACAGGGACAGCTGAGTAACCACGTGGTACACAGAGACAGCTGAGTCACCACGTGGTACACAGGGACAGGTGAGTCACCACGTGGTACACAGAGACAGCTGAGTCACCACGTGGTACACAGAGACAGCTGAGTCACCACGTGGCACACAGGGACAGCTGAGTCACCACGTGGCACACAGGGACAGCTGAGTCACCACGTGGTACAGAGCGACAGCTGAGTCACCACGTGGTACACAGAGACAGCTGAGTCACCACGTGGTACACAGGGACAGCTGAGTCACCACGTGACACACAGGGACAGCTGAGTCACCACGTGGTACACAGGGACAGCTGAGTCACCACGTGGCACACAGGGACAGCTGAGTCACCACGTGGTACACAGGGACAGCTGAGGCACCACGTGGTACACACCACCACCACCACACACCGCTTACTCATCTTGCCACGCAACTGCTTTGACCATTTCTGAGCGAGGAGTTGAGCGGCAAGAGGATGAGTGAGGGCGTGGCCATAATGCGTGACCACGCCCCATACAGCAATGGACCACGCCCCCCTTGTCTGCGTGAGTGGGTAAGCGAGCGTGTGAGAGGGTGAATGGGCGAGTGGATGATTGAGAGGGCAGCTGAATGGGTGAGTGAGTGAGTGGGTGAGTGAGTGGGTAAGCGAGCGTGTGAGAGGGTGAATGGGCGAGTGGATGATTGAGTGGGCAGCTGAATGGGTGAGTGAGTGGGTGAGTTGGTGAGTGAGTGGGTGGGTAAGCGAGCGTGTGAGAGGGTGAATGGGCGAGTGGATGATTGAGTGGGCAGCTGAATGGGTGAGTGAGTGGGTGAGTGGGTGAGTGAGTGGGTGGGTAAGCGAGCGTGTGAGAGGGTGAATGGGCGAGTGGATGATTGAGTGGGCAGCTGAATGGGTGAGTGAGTGGGTGAGTGAGTGGGTGAGTGAGTGGGTAAGCGAGCGTGTGAGAGGGTGAATGGGCGAGTGGATGATTGAGTGGGCAGCTGAATGGGTGAGTGAGTGGGTGAGTGGGTGAGTGAGTGGGTGGGTAAGCGAGCGTGAGAGGGTGAATGGGCGAGTGGATGATTGAGTGGGCAGCTGAATGGGTGAGTGAGTGAGTGGGTGAGTGAGTGGGTAAGCGAGCGTGTGAGAGGGTGAATGGGCGAATGGATGATTGAGTGGGCAGCTGAATGGGTGAGTGAGTGAGTGAGTGCGTGAGTGAGTGGGTAAGCGAGCGTGTGAGAGAGTGAATGGGCGAGTGGATGATTGAGTGGGCAGCTGAATGGGTGAGTGAGTGGGTGAGTGGGTGAGTGAGTGGGTGGGTAAGCGAGCGTGTGAGAGGGTGAATGGGCGAGTGGATGATTGAGTGAGCAGCTGAATGGGTGAGTGAGTGGGTGAGTGGGTGAGTGAGTGGGTGGGTGGGTAAGCGAGCGTGTGAGAGGGTGAATGGGCGAGTGGATGATTGAGTGGGCAGCTGAATGGGTGAGTGAGTGAGTGGGTGAGTGAGTGGGTAAGCGAGCGTGTGAGAGGGTGAATGGGCGAATGGATGATTGAGTGGGCAGCTGAATGGGTGAGTGAGTGAGTGAGTGCGTGAGTGAGTGGGTAAGCGAGCATGTGAGAGGGTGAATGGGCGAGTGGATGATTGAGTGGGCAGCTGAATGGGTGAGTGAGTGAGTGCGTGAGTGAGTGGGTAAGCGAGCATGTGAGAGGGTGAATGGGCGAGTGGATGATTGAGTGGGCAGCTGAATGGGTGAGTGAGTGAGTGGGTGAGTGAGTGAGTGTATGTGTGAGTGAGTGGGTGAGTGAGTGAGTGGCTATGTGAGTGAGTGACTGTATGTGTGAGTGACTGTGTGAGTGAGTGTATGTGTTAGTGAGTGGCTGTGTGAGTGAGTGACTGTGTGAGTGAGTGACTGTGTGAGTGAGTGACTGTGTGAGTGAGTGTGTGAGTGAATGACTGTGTGAGTGAGTGACTGTGTGAGTGACTGTGTGAGTGAGTGAGTGTATGAGTGAGTGAGTGGCTGTGTGAGTGAGTGACTGTGTGAGTGAGTGAGTGTATGAGTGACTGTGTGAGTGAGTGAGTGTATGTGTGTGTGTGAGTGGCTGTATGTGTGAGTGAGTGGCTGTGTGAGTGAGTGACTGTGTGAGTGAGTGTGTGACTGTATGAGTGTATGTGTGTGTGGGTGAGTGGCTGTGTGACTATGAGTGTATGTGTGAGTGAGTGACTGTGTGAGTGAGTGAGTGACTGTGTGAGTGACTGTGTGAGTGAGTGAGTGACTGTGTGTGTGGGTGAGTGACTGTGTGAGTGGGTGAGTGACTGTGTGTGTGGGTAAGTGACTGTGTGAGTGGGTGAGTGACTGTGTGTGTGGGTGAGTGACTGTGTGAGTGAGTGAGTGACTGTGTGAGTGTATGTGTTAGTGTGTGAGTGAGTGTATGAGTGAGTGAGTGACTGTGTGAGTGTATGTGTTAGTGTGTGAGTGAGTGTATGAGTGAGTGAGTGACTGTATGAGTGTATGTGTTAGTGACTGTGTGACTGTGTGTGTGAGTGAGTGTGTGAGTGAGTGACTGTGTGACTGTATGAGTGTATGTGTTAGTGACTGTGTGACTGTGTGTGTGAGTGAGTGTATGAGTGAGTGAGTGACTGTATGAGTGTATGTGTTAGTGTGTGTGACTGTATGAGTGTATGAGTGTATGTGTTAGTGAGTGTATGTGTTAGTGAGTGAGTGACTGTATGAGTGTATGTGTTAGTGTGTGTGACTGTATGAGTGTATGAGTGTGTGAGTGACTGTGTGAGTGAGTGAGTGTATGTGTTAGTGTGTGAGTGTGTGAGTGAGTGTGTGTGTGAGTGAGTGTGTGAGTGAGTGACTGTGTGACTGTATGAGTGTATGTGTTAGTGACTGTGTGACTGTGTGTGTGAGTGAGTGTGTGAGTGAGTGACTGTGTGACTGTATGAGTGTATGTGTTAGTGAGTGTGACTGTATGAGTGTATGAGTGTATGTGTTAGTGAGTGTATGTGTTAGTGAGTGAGTGACTGTATGAGTGTATGTGTTAGTGTGTGTGACTGTATGAGTGTGTGAGTGTGTGAGTGAGTGTATGTGTTAGTGTGTGAGTGTGTGAGTGAGTGTGTGTGTGAGTGAGTGTGTGAGTGAGTGACTGTGTGACTGTATGAGTGTATGTGTTAGTGAGTGTATGTGTTAGTGAGTGAGTGACTGTATGAGTGTATGTGTTAGTGTGTGTGACTGTATGAGTGTGTGAGTGTGTGAGTGACTGTGTGAGTGAGTGAGTGTGTGAGTGAGTGTATGTGTTAGTGTGTGAGTGTGTGAGTGAGTGTGTGTGTGAGTGAGTGTGTGAGTGAGTGACTGTGTGACTGTATGAGTGTATGTGTTAGTGAGTGTATGTGTGTGTGAGTATCCACGCTCAGTAGAATGTGAGCTGCTTGTCAGCTGGCACGCCGTACGTCTCTTTGTGCTTCTCGAACAGCGCCGTGAGCCGCTCCAGGTAGTGCTCGTGGAGCCGCGTGATGTCGTCAGCACTAGGACTCGGGGTCAGCTCCACTGCGATCGGCTCCCCCACTACAGAGACAAAGATCCCCCGTGTAGCCTCAACAGACTGTTGGGGCAAGTGCTGTTAGCGAGCAGCACCTACAGAGACAAAGGTCCCCCGTGTAGCCTCAGCAGACTGTTGGGGCAAGTGCTGTTAGCGAGCAGCACCTATGAAGGTAGACACAGACAAAGGTCCCCCGTGTAGCCTCAGCAGACTGTTGGGGCAAGTGCTGTTAGCGAGGAGCACCTACTGTGGCACACGAGGGGGAAGATGGCCAGCATCGCACTGTAGTGTAGTGTGGATGACGGTACGGCGTGCTAGTGTGACACCCACCGACAGTGTCGTAGTGTGACACCCACCCACAGTGTGGTAGTGTGACACCCACCCACGGTGTGGTAGTGTGACACCCACCCACAGTGTGGTAGTGTGACACCCACCCACAGTGTGGTAGTGTGACACCCAGTGTGGTAGTGTGACACCCACAGTGTTGTAGTGTGACACCCACCCACAGTGTGGTAGTGTGACACCCACCCACGGTGTTGTAGTGTGACACCCACAGTGTGGTAGTGTGACACCCACAGTGTGGTAGTGTGACACCCACAGTGTGGTAGTGTGACACCCACCCACAGTGTGGTAGTGTGACACCCACCCACAGTGTGGTAGTGTGACACCCACCCACAGTGTGGTAGTGTGACACCCACCCACGGTGTTGTAGTGTGACACCCACAGTGTGGTAGTGTGACACCCACAGTGTGGTAGTGTGACACCCACCCACAGTGTGGTAGTGTGACACCCACCCACAGTGTGGTAGTGTGACACCCACAGTGTGGTAGTGTGACACCCACAGTGTGGTAGTGTGACACCCACCCACAGTGTGGTAGTGTGACACCCACCCACGGTGTGGTAGTGTGACACCCACCCACAGTGTGGTAGTGTGACACCCACCCACAGTGTGGTAGTGTGACACCCACCCACGGTGTTGTAGTGTGACACCCACCCACAGTGTGGTAGTGTGACACCCACCCACAGTGTGGTAGTGTGACACCCACCCACGGTGTGGTAGTGTGACACCCACGGTGTGGTAGTGTGACACCCACGGTGTGGTAGTGTGACACCCACAGTGTGGTAGTGTGACACCCACCCACAGTGTGGTAGTGTGACACCCACGGCGTGGATGACGGTACGGTGTGGTAGTGTGACACCCACCCACGGTGTTGTAGTGTGACACCCACAGTGTGGTCGTGTGACACCCACCCACAGTGTGGTAGTGTGACACCCACGGTGTTGTAGTGTGACACCCACCCACAGTGTGGTAGTGTGACACCCACCCACGGTGTTGTAGTGTGACACCCACAGTGTGGTCGTGTGACACCCACCCACAGTGTGGTAGTGTGACACCCACGGTGTTGTAGTGTGACACCCACCCACGGTGTGGATGGCGGTGCGGTAGGGCAGCAGGCCAAAGCTGTACTGGAAGACTCCGCGGGCGTGGAAGAGCGGCAGCGCCACCCCCATGAGGCCCTGCAGACGCTCCTGGGCGGCGCGCAGCCACGAGCCACGCGGGTTGCCCACCTGCTGGAAGAGCTCGTTCTCGCCAAACGAGAACACCGGCACCAGCTGGGCCCTGCGGGTCAGGCCGATGGAGAAGGAGAGGGGGGGAACGGCAGCCGGCCGACGGTGCCAGGGCCCGTGTCAACAACAGCGATGACAGCCGCGCTGACGACGGCAACGACCACTGGAACCGCCATTCACCACCGAGTGGCGGAGGCGGCATCACGTTCAGTGTCGAAGGCTCGCTTGCAGGCGGGAGGCCGCGGTGGAGGCCCAGCGGGTGCCATGGTTTTTTGACTGCTGTGCCAGGCCAGGTGCAGGTGGCGGGCACGGGGACGGACCCAGCAGGTGCCTTGGGCCCACCGACTGAGATGACTGGCAGATGCGCCGCCTGTAGTGCCCCAGTAGATCTCTGTACAGTGTTGCGGTGACAGTAGATCTCTGTACAGTGTTGCGGTGACAGTAGATCTCTGTACAGTGTTGCGGTGACAGTAGATCTCCGTACAGTGTTGCGGTGACAGTAGATCTCTGTACAGTGTTGCGGTGGTGGTGGATCCCGGTACTGTGTTACAGTGGTGGTGGATCTCGGTACATTGTGTCAATGTTCGTATCGCAGACATATCTCAGCGCAGTGTTGCAGTGACGGTGGATCCCGGTACTGTGTTACAGTCGCGGTGTTGCAACGTTACAGCGTCCATGAATGCAGACCTCAATACAGTGCCGCGGTTACGGTAGATGCCGGTACAGTGCCAGTGACAGCAGGTCACCTGGAAACCTTTCGGCCCAGTTGCACCGCAGCTTTGCAACTTTCCGTGACCTCTGCACCCTGCCCAGTACCACCGCATCGAGGCCTCGTGAGTCTCCTCCCAGGACACCCATCTCTGGCCTCCGTATCCGAGACTCCGTCTCATCTTCTTTGGTTCTTTCGGTAAAGTCACCACGTAGAATGAGAATAAAATAATAAAATAAAACAATGAAATTCTCACGACGTTTCGGCCACAACACCAGTAGCCGTCCTCAGGTTGAAGAAACAGGACTGTCCAGAAGACAACTCAAGCGCTGTCCTTCTGGACAGTCCTGTTTCTTCACCTGAGGACGGCTACTGGTGTTGTGGCCGAAACGTCGTGAGAATTTCATTGTTTTATTTTATTATTGTATTCTCATTCTACGTGGCGGTGACTTTACCGAAAGAAGCAAAGAAGATGAATCCTTGCAGTCACGAAAACTTTTTAATCGAAACTCCGTCTTATCTTACACTTGCGTACATTTATACGGCGCCTTAAGATTTGCAAGGCACTTTTACGGAAGACTATAAAATTGTGCGCGAGATGGTAGCGTGACACGTAGGCTTTCCGCCAAACAATATCATTCGTAATGGAAGGTTTTTTTTTGTTGGGTTGGATTGCGCAAGTATCATTGCGTCGTTCACCAAAGTCGTACCCGGATCGTAAATGTAGTGGTTTTTAACTCTCCAACACACAAACAGTTAGTGCTAAACTCGTTACTAATTGGCACGTTTTGTTAAATTGGCGTACCTTACTTATTAGCTGCGATGGCTGGTGGCGGGTTAAGGACAGAACATTTATATGTACGTGATCTAACCCAAAAAAACCCCTCTACTATGAAGATAATAGTGGTTGAGTTAAAGATTGGAGTTTGTTAAAGGTGGTGGTAGGATTGGTTATTAAACTATTTTTTTTATCTTACCAGGTAAGGCCCACTGAGCTACGTAAGAGCTCTTTGTCAGAAGCCACCTATCACAAATGATAGCTCAGCGAAGTGGCCTATCATCACATGGAAATGCATAGCGACCGCGAGGAGAGAGGCAAGCGTAAGGGTCAGGATCGAGCCCACGACCTCCTGCATACCAGGCGAGGGACTTAACGTCTCCTAGCCACCGTGGCCCCGGTGGCTAGGAGACGTTACATGGTGGTAGGACGGGGTGTAGGGGAGTGAGGTGAAGGGGAATAAACTGATCTCAGTTCCGGAAGGGTTGGTGGAGAGGCAGCGGCATGACATCCAGGGTTGGAGAGCGATGAAGCAGTCGGAAATGTGGGAGGCGGGGTGAGGGGGGTAAAAGGAGGGACAGAAATCTGGGTGCTGTCGGCTAAGGAAGTTGCGGCGGTGGAAAGCGATGGCGTCTTTACTCTCTGGTTGTAAGAACAGGGGTTTTCCCCCTTTTTTATGGCAACAAAACTGAAAACCTTTTAACGAGGATTCATGTTTACCGCATTAACCACAATAGCTGCAGTCAAAATGCAAACAAAAAAAACATACACTATGATAATATATGTGGCATTGTCCTTGAAACTGATTGGTCCACACCAAGGGACGGCTTTCTTTTGAGCCTCGACCCAATTGGTGCTCGACCAGATGACGCCAAAAGGCGTCACACAGCTCAAAGACAATGCACTATCAAAGTAATGAGGGCTCGGGGTGAGCATCTACATCATTAGACCTCCTTTGCCAGTACCAAAATGTAATAATAGGGTGGTTTTTCCCCTTTTTTCTGGCAACAAAACTGAAAACCTTTTAACGAGGATTCATGTTTACCGCATTAACCACAACACCTGCAGTCAAAATGCAAACAAAAAACACACTATGATAATATTTGTGGCATTGTCCTTGAAACCGATTGGTCCACACCAAGGGACGGCTTCATTTCCTTTGAGCCTTTCGGCAAAGTCACGTGGGCATAACACAGAAAATAAATGAAATCACGACGTTTCGTTGCAACACAATAATTTTAGCGTCAGCTAAACAAATGCTCTTGCTGTAGTTTTCACACCTGATGACGATTGCTCGTGTTGCAATCGAAACGTCGTGGCTTAATTTATTTATTTAATATTTCATACCCACTCCGTGATGACTTTACCGAAAGAACCACAGGGTATGGATCCCTGCAGTCACGAAAACTTCAGATCTAGAATGATGGCAGCTTCCGGAGGTGAGACGCAGAGGGGGGAAGAGGCGGAGAGTCCTGGGACGGACCGCCCTGGGATGCAGCGACGAGGGAGGGAGGGGAGCTGGAGGGGTTGAAAGAAAGCCAGAGGGAGCGCGTGAAGAGAGAGCCAAGGCTGGAGCCAGGAGAGCAGCGGTGCTGGAGACGGTGCCGGATTATCCGAGTAGCAAAAGTAGCGACAAATTGTAGCTGCGGGCCCCGCACTTTCAAGGGCCCCGCGCTCAATTATTTGACGCTATCAATTCCGGTTCAGCGATTCTGCACTTGCTCTATTACTATAGTACTATACCGCCTTCAACTTTTATGAACGAACTGGGTGTTTAAGGTTAGCGATTTGTTGTATCATCTGGCTGTAGAGCAAATGACAAAATTCAATTACTTTGCTACACGAGTAAAAAAAAAAAATGTGTGTTTTAATATTGATGCGCTTTTAAAAATGCGCTTTAAATTTTTTTTTTTAGGGCCCCTTTGTAACATAAACTCGAGGCCCCGCACGAGGAGCTTCACCCGGCACTGGCTGGAGATACCGAGACTGGAGGAGAGTGTGGGAAGGAGCGGGGGGATGATTGGCTGAGTCATTGTTCGGCTTGCACAGGTGCGCAGCTCCCTATTACGATTGGGGGGGGGGCTATTCAATATGCGACTGTGGGCCCCCCTTCTTCCTCCCGACCCACTTTGATTGAAGTAGCTACGACTATTGTTTTGTTTTTGACCCCGTATAGACGATAACACGCAGGCTATAGCTACGTAGACAATAGTCTAGTTGCACGGTGCATTGGGGTTTAGAGGAAGACAGTCTCATTAATACAGGGACTCCTGTTCGTAAGTCGATTTGTTCATAAACATGTTGTACGACATGCACACTGAACACGGGGAATGGCTTTAAAAGTTGTTTAATAGCCTGCAGATGTAGATGCCACTGGTTCTTCACGTTCTGCAGATGTACTGTAGATGCCACTGGTTCTTCACGTTCTACAGATGTAGATGCCACTGGTTCTTCACGTTCTGCAGATGTAGATGCCACTGGTTCTTCACGTTCTGCAGATGTAGATGCCACTGGTTCTTCACGTTCTACAGATGTAGATGCCACTGGTTCTTCACGTTCTGCAGATGTAGATGCCACTGGTTCTTCACGTTCTGCAGATGTAGATGCCACTGGTTCTTCACGTTCTACAGATGTAGATGCCACTGGTTCTTCACGTTCTGCAGATGTAGATGCCACTGGTTCTTCACGTTCTGCAGATGTAGATGCCACTGGTTCTTCACGTTCTGTAGATGTAGATACCACTGGTTCTTCACGTTCTACAGATGTAGATGCCACTGGTTCTTCACGTTCTGCAGATGTGGATGCCACTGGTTCTTCACGTTCTGCAGATGTAGATGCCACTGGTTCTTCACGTTCTGTAGATGTAGATACCACTGGTTCTTCACGTTCTGTAGATGTACTGTAGATGCCACTGGTTCTTCACGTTCTGTAGATGTAGATGCCACTGGTTCTTCACGTTCTGCAGATGCCACTGGTTCTTCACATTCTGCAGATGTAGATGCCACTGGTTCTTCACTTTCTGTAGATGTAGATGCCACTGGTTCTTCACGTTCTGTAGATGTAGATGCCACTGGTTCTTCACGTTCTGCAGATGTAGATGCCACTGGTTCGTCATGTTCTGCAGATGTAGATGCCACTGGTTCTTCACGTTCTGCAGATGTCACTGGTTCTTCACATTCTGCAGATGTAGATGCCACTGGTTCTTCACTTTCTGTAGATGTAGATGCCACTGGTTCTTCACGTTCTGTAGATGCCACTGGTTCTTCACGTTCTGCAGATGTAGATGCCACTGGTTCTTCACTTTCTGCAGATGTAGATGCCGCTGGTTCTTCACGTACTGTAGATGTAGATGCCACTGGTTCTTCACGTTCTGTAGATGTAGATGCCACTGGTTCTTCACGTTCTGCAGATGTAGATGCCACTGGTTCTTCACGTTCTGCAGATGTAGATGCCACTGGTTCTTCACGTTTTGCAGATGTAGATGCCACTGGTTCTGCACGTTCTGCAGATGTAGATGCCGCTGGTTCTTCACGTACTATAGATGTAGATGCCACTGGTTCTTCAC